TTAGAATCATAGAATAGTTAGTGTTACTTAAATTAAGTGCTTAATCTAATTAAAGATATTTTTGGGGATGTCTCAGCTTTAGCCTAATAAATCAGAGGCACAAGAAGTTACACATAGATATTTCCTTATTGCCCATAAATCTGTACTTATTACAACTATAAACTCTGGAATGTAGCTTTGAATCTCAGTTCCTTGAAAACTGTATAGCCTCTTACTGATGCTAGATATTTGAATAAGAGCAATTTTGAATGTGGGTTTTGATTGCTTCTAATTGTGAATTATGCTAAAGCTGCTATAGTCATTATCTTAAAAACTATTTAATTAAGTGTAAGTATCCAGCTGTGTGTATTTTCAAAGATCCAAACTGTTCTAAGATCTTGAACAGAAGAGCAATATATATACACACACATATATATGTATCTCAGGGTTTGTAAAAAAACTTTCCCTCCTCAGTTTAATTTCCTTACTTTGGGGTGTTTCATCTGTAGCCTTAATAGTGGGTTTAGTCTCTTTCTTATGTGTAATTTGAATTTGTGAAATAATAAGCAGGAATTACACTGCTTATAGAAAGAAACCTATATATTTGCTTAGAGGATATAGACTCAGGTAGCAGGATCAGTATGCAAAGCATCCTGGGCAGAGATAGGAATGGGGACTTGAATCCTGTTCTGCCCTGGCTACCAACGAGGAATGAATCTAATATGCTGTCACTCTTCTGTCCATTGCCATCAAATGTGAGCTGTTTTTTCTCTTAATTTTTCTTCTTTACTCTTTAACATTCCTAATTACATTTCCTCCCCTCTGAGAGATCATTGTCCTCCTTCCATTTTCACTCCAGACCCTATTATGACAGCAGAATGATACTAGTTCCCTATCCAAGTCAATCTCATCTCACTCTAGGGTTTTCTCCCCGATTATTCCCTGTCTGTCCTGTCTGAACTTCCTTCTTTCTCTGCCTGCCTTTTAATTCATGTCTTCACTCCCAAGTTTCTCATTTGTCAGTGTCCTTAATCTTTTCTGCCAGTCTCTGAGATGAGTTTATCTCCCTTCCGCTGCTTAATTACATAGGAAATCTCTCTTGATTGCCTCTCCTTTTTTCCCCCATACCAGTAGCATCCAGAGTCTTAACTTGGGCAGTCCCTGTTCCCCTTCTACACTCATACATGAATCTGAGCCCCCTTGGATGTGCGAATCCTCAGCTGGTTACACAAACCAGCAAGAGTTCAGCTAAGGCTTTTGCCTAGAATTCAAGCATGCCTCTGAGTTAATGGTGTGAGTTAAAGCATCAGCATTAACTTAGAGTTTTCTGGCTTTTGACTTTTCTTTTCACAGCTTGACATTTCTGTAATGCTTTGTTTTTCTAGGACTTCAAAAAAACCAGATGGGGAATAATGTCACAGCAGAATGCATAACCCTGGCTCTGGCAGGTCTGCCACCCCATCACCACAGCTCTCCAGGGCTGGTTAATGGTGTTGTCCTTGGTCATCCTGGAGCATTGCCCCTCCTGGTGCCAGATGCCAAAGAAGCCACCCTTTGGTGTCTCATCCTGAAGCCACCTTGGATAGGTGCCACCTTGTGTAGATGCAAGTCATGGGCTGGGGACACGTGGCCTGCCAGTGGTGCCAAGGAACAACAAATTAAAGCCGAATAACTGAGGTGACAGGCTGAAAGACAGCCAACAGGGAAGGGTCAGCCCGTGGGCAGAGCGGAGAATCGATTCACTAACCTCCTAGGTGCATCTCACTGATTTTCTGCAATACCTTGACAGAAACCAGATACTACAGAGATACCTCATTTAAAGGTATCAATAGGCAGTTGCACTCCAGTCTCCTGAATCCCAAATCTTTTCTGTACTCACACAATCACCCTGTCCCTCCCCAGCTACACAATATGTCTGATCTGTGGGGTATTATATACATCTTCCTTGAGCTGTGACAGGCTGGGTCTGTGCAAACCATTTCAAAGGTAGGATGTAGCTTAGTGTATTCTGGGAATGATTTCAAGTAATTACATGGATGCAGCTTTGCACAAAGGTAGTTTTTTTATGAGCACTGGAGATTTATTAGAGGAATGTAGCTCTGACTGTCACCACTGGATCACTACACACTGTATCTCAGCCATCACGAGGCTGTGTAGCTTCCCATATCCACATCCCATCCCAGCTGCTTAGAGGAAACAAACAGAATTAAATGCTTGTTTTGAACTGAATGTCATCATTTGGGTGTTTAAAATGGAATGGAATCAATCTGATCTGAAAAAATATAAGGTAATTGGGAGTTAAAGTGTTATTGGGTCCTCCTGAAATGCAATTAGAGAGATACTATTCATGTTGTGAACAGCACACCTCTAATCTTAAACTATTCTAGAAGCTTCATTTGTGTATTTTTTTGCTCTGCATTTGAAGGAAAGTTCCAGCTCGGGTTAATAATATAGTGGCAGTACTTCACAATGCTCTCCAACGTACAGAAGTAGCTATTAAACTGTCAACAGCACTAAAAGATGATATTTTGATGGCAATGGATAGGAACCCCATCTTCCTGCTCATCCTACTCAATGTTTCTGTAGCTTTCAAGCACAGTCAACCATAATTTGTACTGACTTGCATACGTGACATGGGCTGAATAGGTAGTCTGAGCTACAACTGTGCCAATCAATTTTTTAGGCAAAACTCACATAGCATCTAACAGACAGCTATTCCCTCTTCCTCCTCTGTACCTCTTGCAATCACTCCTGTTCACCATCTACCTGGAGACCTCTAGAGAAGTTGCAGGACATGCCAGCTTCATTACTGAAGCTGTTCTGCTGATATCAACCTGCATAATCCCCTTCCACAGCTGCAGCCAGAGATATCATTATATATACAGAATGAAGAGCAAATTTGGTCTCAGCACAACCTGCGGGGAAATGTTTCCATAGATGGAGTTGGCCAGTATCCATCTGCCCATCTTCTCCCTTTCTGCCTAACCTTTCCTTTAATGTTGCACATATCCTAAAGGACAATTTGAACATTTAGTGCAGGTGAAGAAATAGTGTGATTTCAAGTGAAAACGTATTTCTTGGCCATTGTCAGAAGTCTGCCATAGGAGGGGGTTACCTCAGGGGTGATGTCTGTAACCACCACCTCAAAACCCTACCTCACCTGTGATGTGGAAGAAGCAGCAAACTCTAGTTTGGGCCACAGTCAAGCAGATTATCACAAACTCAGCTTGTCCCTGCTGCAGTTAAAGCTGGTGATCAAATCTTACAAGTCGTTCAATCCCATCTACATCAAATGCTGACTAACTTTGTGTTTTTCTCAGTCTGAAACAGTCTGGAATGAGAATATTAGAGGCAGAAATAAGCTTATTTGTAACTTCTCAGGCAAAATCAAATTATTTCATATCCTTGTGGTCCAAATTGTTTTTTCCTCCTTGTATTAACTAGAATGATGAGAAAATAGTGGGAGGACAAGTGCATCCACCTGGAAAGTTCTGGAGAGGCTCAGCAGCAACCACTATGAAGTCTGCCATGAAACGTTCAGCAGCCTGATTTGCATTACAAAGTAATCATTCTCTGGATGAAATCTGGAGGTAAAGATCACCAAAACTACTGTACGCAACTGATAGGAGATATCAGTGAACTACATGAACACAATACGATGCTAAAAGGAGGTTTTTTCCTTATGTTCTCTATATTTGAAGTCTTTAAATGTTCTGAGTCCAGTAACTTTGTGTTGTTTGTATGGCAAAGGCATATCGTCTAGAAAAGTATCTGGAAAATGTAGAGGTCACTGGTTTGCTCAGTAGGTGTCTGTAGTAGGTAATCATCTCCTCCATTAGAGAAATGTACCTCAGAAGTACCTCTGCCTGAGGTATTTTCTCCTTGTAAAGCCCTTTGTACGCTGTAGTCAAGTTAAGTCTCTCCATCCTTTTTGACAGCAACCCAGCTTGAATCACATATTTTTAAGACCTTTTTCCTTAGTGAGTTCAAATAATTTCTGCAGCAATTTTCTACACTCTCTTATTTGGCAGGGCCCTATTTAGGATGTGGGTGCCAAAACTAACATAAGATTCTAGTGCTGCTTTAGCAGTATCAGATAAAATGTTTGAAATCTGTGCTTATACATCCCAATAGTGCATTATACAAATACATAGGTAATTAATTGAAGATTATAAATTCCTTCTTTGTGTTCAATTATTAGTTTTGTGGTCAATTAATCAGAATTATGATTATTGATATTCTTTTCAGTTATTATAGATTTCTAGATGGTAAATACTGAGGAGAATAACAGTGCTACTGCCAGTTATTTATATAACATCAAATAAAAATATCACATTGAAAAACACCACATTCAAAACCTTCTTTTACAAATAACACTGCACTGGATGACTATTTAACAGCAAATTATAAATTTGCTGGGTCTCATTGCAGGTTTTTTCATGTTTTATGTTTAAAAGAGGAACATTTTGGGAGTCGAGTGTTAGTTATTTAGCAATCCAAAAGGTCACTACAGAAATATGCACAAAACCACACGTGAGCAGTGCACTTGGAGATTTCCTCTTAACTTTGTTCAAGATGCACTCTAAGAGCCTGGCTTCACCATTTAAGTCAAGAAAATGAAATATTCATGTGCTGTAGATAGATATTGTTGCTGTAGCCACACAACCCGCGCCTGTTGAAGGTTGAGGATGCACAACTGAATTTATATGTTGGCCGTAAAACCTGCATTTAAGGGACACACATTCTAACCAATCAGACTAAATAAATCATCAGGCCCAGGTTTTATCATCACAGATAACCCTCATTAATCCAGCAAGTTTTTTCCTGAAGACAAAGGACAAAATGAATTGCTTCATTGGAGTTGCCTGAGCAGCATGCTAATGCCGGGAGGTGGAAGGCATGAATTATTCATGCCCTGGCAGCCTAGGCAGGCAGATCCTGGCTTTTCCTGTTACCATTGCAACAAGTGGCAGCTGGCCCAGCCGCGCTTGGGCCATTCCGCATCCTGGGAGAGCACGGAAATGCCTTCTGGAGAGGGAAAACCTCCGTGTCCCCGCTGCGCCCAACGCAGCCGGGTGGATTTTCAGGTTAAGCCTTATGCAAAATGGAGCCGGGAAGCACAATCTTTTGTAACTCGGATGTTCTTGACCATAAACTACTCTTCGTGGAAGAAAACGGGTTGCTTTGGTAAGTTTGTGCAACTTTTGATGTGTTCTGAACCTGCTGTAAAGTGTTTCCAGTAACTCTACTGTGCAGTCTTTTACCAGGCTTGCTAAAAATAGGCTGCTTTCTTTTCGCTTTTGAAATGACTTAAAGAAGCCTAAAATGGTATGAAATGGCTTTATTTTTAACTCTAGAAAATACATAAACAGTGTGTACAGAACTGACACTGAAGTTATGATCGAGCCTTCTTAAATTGTCTCAACTAAATTTTCAAATCCCTGTAGCACACTGCTAAACCAAAATATAGTTATGCTCCAAGTCTGGTTTCTTGCACCCAAACCTGAGATTAATGTAATTCAGTGTAAAACTGGAGAGCCTGAAAGAGCGTGTGCTGTTTTTCATAAGAAATGTTGGTTTCTTGTAAGTGTAACTTGTGGTGTTGCTCTTTATTCAGGTATTTCTGATTGGGTTGGGAACTGAGACCTGCACAACATTCTTACTGTGCATTCACTATTCTGGTAGTTGTTGTATTGAAAAGCATCAAATCTTACCCAGTTTTTCTAAGGATATGAAGGAGATATATTCTGTATGTGAAGCACATGGCAGTGATGAGCTAAGGCTAGACTTACCACTTCTGTGTAAGGTGAAAAGCATCAAAATGCTTTGGTTTTATTCATTATATTCATTATACACTATACCTACCTGTACTATTTGTTTCAGCTGTTTGTGTTGTTTTCCAGTAGTGATTCTATCAGCATTGCCTGAGAACTCTCAGGTATGTGGCGCAGTTAAAAGCTGGTATAAACAATCAGCTCCCCAGAGCAGAGGCCATGGATTGGAGAGTGAATAGGAAATGAATCGTGAATAAGTTTTGATTGTGGATAACAAGCTCTCCCTCTTTTTGTTTGTTTTGTTCTAATTACACAGTCCAGATTCTGCTGCTTCTACTTTAATTTCTTTGTTTTGATCATAAAAGTGCTTTATTTAAAATCCAAGAGAGAGCCAAATTTTGAAGGGATAAAAGTACAGCACAATGATATCTTGTGCTAACAGTAATTAAATGCCCCATGTTTGAAAAAAGAAAACAAGAGGTAAAAATAGGGATATGTAAATAACAGGAGATACGTAAACAATGGATGTAATCCTGCACTCCTTAACGATGGGAGTAATCCTTATTCACGTAAGTAATCGTGGTGGTTTCAATAGACTCGCATCAGTAGGTGCTGTAGCATAAGGCCCATATTTTTCAAGGAGATAACAGTGTCTGTCTTACGTGGGGTTTTTTTGTAATGTCATTTTAGCAACAGGTTTTAGTGATGTGTTTAAATGCATTAGTGATAATATTAAATTAGGTTTTACCAAATGTCTTTTCTGCTTCTAAAAGTATAAAGGAGAAAAATGGAATGATGCATTAGAAGTGTCTGTGGGCAGCTAGAAGCCCCACATATTTTATTAGAGATGTGCTTTGCAGTGGTATAGTGCTGCTCACCCTGTTGCCTGTGTTTGTAGATTGCTTTTTGCTACATGATGTATATAAACCTTCCTCCTTTTAGGATAGGATGTCACTTGAGCAAAAAATCACTCTGACACCTGATGACTCATAAAGTATATTTGGGTCTCCATAAAAGTGATGTTCATAAATATTGTTCATTTCTCTGATTTAAATACATGGGGTTTGTGGTAACGTCCTGTGAATGGTTTTTATCACTGTTATGGTCTCTGATCTTGTCAAATAACATCTGCAGTTCTGCCTTGGGAATGACAGATATGTATAAATGTTGTGGATGTGTTACCCTCCTCATCAGCCCAGCTTGGCACTTCTGAGCTTTCCCCTCCAAGATCACACAGTGCTGCTCTGTAATCCAGGATGGGGCTTGAAAGCACCTGTATGCCCTTCCCCAGGCACTGCATCTGTTAATGAGGGAAAACTAATTACTTAAAAGCTTTTAGTGTGATGGGGTTGAGAAGTATAAATAGTCATGGTGGTGCTCTGCAAGCCGTCAACCTGTGTTTATGCTGGATGCCAGCAGTGGCATGAGTGTTACCTATAACTGCTGCAGTCGTTGGTGTGGTAAGATGCCTCCTCTGTGGAAATATTCTCGTGTGCACCCTGAAGGGGCCAAAATAGAAATAAAGTCAATAATGCCATAGATGGTGGTTCCAGAGGGTATATAAAACTTAGACTTAAGTGCAGTTGATATTGAGTACCTGTTGTCTTTTTGTTGGTTGCATTGAGGTATTGAGAATGAATCAATTGTTCTTAATCAGCTTCATTACATGGCAAAGATGTTTGTATTTTGTATTTGCAAATGACCTATACTATATTATTAGTATCTATCTGCACAGAGGTATCGTATAGAAGCACTTTAATACTGAGGCTACAAGGCTCTTGTGGACACAAGAGTGCTGGAGGCAATAGGAAGACCAGTGCCAAGAGGCTGGAAGGGCAGACTGGCAACTGCTGCCAGGGGAGGAACTGGGGTGGCCTTTGGCAGCAGCGTTTCTTTTTGCTTATTCCATGCACGGTCCCAGCAGAAGCATTAAGTCTCTCCAGTTTAGTCCCTTTCTGTCCCCTGCCCACGGGGTCAGCTCCTAGTCCTTGAAGAACCCCAAAAGCATTGGTTGCACATTAACTTGAACTTTATAACCACAGTTTTAAGGGTTTTTTCCCTACATTCATTCTCCTTTGTTGAATTACACAAAATAAATCACATGCAAGTCTATCTGTTTGAGGATCTCCTCCTGGCAGTGGGCTGAGGTCAGGGGCCTGTTTTAATTTTTACTACCTTATATGACTTCTAGAGGTGGCTCTTCATGCAAATTTATTGAGAAGTCTAAAAAATCTTAGCCAAAAAATGTGCTGTAAATTGGTTCAGCTCATTTTGTATCAAAAATATTGTGTGTGGTGATTTGGAGTAGTCTGGATTTTTCTCTGTGCATACAAACTGCACGGGGTAAGAGCTGTTTTCTGTAATCACTGCCATGTCGTTCTCATGTCTCTCTTCATAAAAGGATGCCCATGGCTCCCTGTTTCCCACCCAGGGGAGAGGGCAGGGGGATGTGTAGTCTCCACTGTTTCCCCAGGTTAGAAGCTCTGTAAGAGCAAAGCTATGGGTGTGCATGCTGTGAGCAATGGTAAGAGCAGGTTTTTGATGGTTTGGCAGCATTCTCTGCTTTTCATGAGATGTATTTTGCTGCTCTTTGGAGTTGGTGGCATAAAGGCAGGGCATTGTGGCTGCTCTGCCTGACTGTGGGCATTGCTGCAGATGACAGACTGCTGCATTAACGTGGAAGTGCACTGAGGTTTCCTATTTAAGGCTTCCATTGCAAAGCTTGTATAAACAGTGGTTACACCAGGCTGAGATATTTGAAATGATACCAACCTGCAGTTCTAAGCCCAAGTAGTATCATAGAATCACAGGCTGGTTTGTGTTGAAGGGACCTTAAAGCTCACCCAGTTCCAACCCCTGCCACGGGCAGGGACACCTTCCACTAGAGCAGGTTGCTCCAAGCCCCTGTGTCCAACCTGGCCTTGAACCCTGCCAGGGATGGGGCAGCCACAGCTTCTCTGGGCACCCTGTGCCAGCCCCTCAGCACCCTCACAGTGAACAATGTCTTCCTTATATCTAGTCTAAATCTACCCTCTTTCAGTTTAAAATCATTCCTTTGAAACAAATAAACCTGTTCCTTCTACACTAAATAAAAGACAAGTGTTAAAGTTCAGGTAGAGGAAATATTCTATCTGCTGTTTTGTCTGGGAGCCAGTGGCAGACAAACAGAAGGACTGGAAAAGCCAGCGTGCAGCCCGCACAGGGTGCTGCTTGAGCAAGCTCTGGGAGGGTGGCCCTGGGAGAGCTGAGCACTGCCTGAACACCAGCCACGGACTTTAGTGGTGGCCCAGGTCAGAGCCATGTAGCAAACTTCAGTTGGTGTAGCATGTGGTCACTGGCTATGGAGGAGAGCCTGGAGCAGGAGATGTGTCCCTTGGTCCAGCATGTCCTTGTGATGGGACTTGCCACGTTTGTTGTGTGTAGGATCTCAGGGACAGCACTGACACATGAGTGACCACATGATAGTCTCCGTCACAAGGCATTGTGGATGAGTCAGTTTGGTTTTTAACTTTAACAAAAGACTAAACCAAGATAACTACCTTAATTATATGCTTGTTAGTTGGGGACGTTCAGCCTGGAGAAGAGAAGGCTCTGGGGACATCTTACAGCAGCTCTCAGTGCCTAAGGGGTCTACAAAAAACCTGGAGAGGGGCTTTGGACAAGGGATGGAGGGACAGGACAAAGGGAATGGCTTGAACCTGCCAGAGGGGAGATTGAGATGAGCTCTGAGGCAGAAGCTCTTCCCTGTGAGGGTGCTGAGGCGCTGGCACAGGGTGCCCAGAGAAGCTGTGGCTGCCCCATCCCTGGCAGTGTTCAAGGCCAGGTTGGACCCAGGGGCTTGGAGCAACCTGCTCTAGTGGAAGGTGTCCCTGCCCGGGGCAGGGGTTGGGACTGGATGAGCTTTGAGGTCCTTTCCAACACAAACCAGGCTGGGATTCTATGATTCCAGGTGGAAAAGGTGAGCTGGTATGAGTTTGCATATTAAGTATGACAACAGTACAGATAAAACTGCAATGCAGATGAACTTTAAATAATGATTTTTAGTTGTTTTCCATGCCTTCCACTGCTGTAAATCCTGTTTTGTGTCTGAGAGTAGCCAGGCCTGGAGAAGCAGTAGTTCTTACCCTCTTTGTGGTCCAGCCAACCCCAAGCTGATATCTTGCCAGGGCAAGTGTTCAGGAGTGTTCTTCCTGCATAGAACATTGCTCTTGTTTCTGTGTCTCTCCAGAGAGGCGGAGGTGAGCAAAGTCACCCTCAATCTGATGTGTGTGATCCCAGGCCCAAACCTGTTTCAGATTTCCATCAGTTAAATACAACATGCATTAATCACGTTTCTGTGGTGGTGCAACACGTCAGTCAAACACCTGGAAATCCACCTGGGGTAACTGACAAAATTCAGTGTGAACTATGCTG